TTTCTTTTTGAGAAGCCTGGCTAGAGGTTTATAAATTTTGTTTATTTTTTCAAAAAATCAACTCTTGGTTTCATTGATCTATTCAACTGTTTTTTGTTTTTGTTTTTTGGATTCTATATTGTTTATTTCTGCCTTGATTTTTATTATTTCTCTTCTCCTACTGGGTTTGGGGTGCTCTTGTTGCTCTCCTTTTAGTTCTTTTAGGTGCACTGTTAGATTTTGTACTTGCGCTTTTTCTAATTTCTTGAAATTGGCCTGGAGTGCAATGTATTTTCCTCTTAGGACTGCCTTTGCTGCATCCCATAGAGTTTGGATTGTTGTACTTTCATTTTCATATATTTTTTAATTTCTTCTCTAATTGCCTGATTGGCCCATTCGTTCTTTAGTAGGGTGTTCTTTAACCTCCATGTTTTTGGAGGTTTTCCAGACTTCTTCCCGTGATTGATTTCAAGTTTCAAAGCATTATGATCTGAAAGTGTGCATGGTATGATCTCAATTCTTTTATATTTATTGAGGGCTGCTTTATGTCCCAGTATGTGACCTATCTTGGAGAACGTGCCATGCGCAGTTGAGAAAAAGTGAATTCCATGGCCTCAGGATGTAGAGTTCTAAATATATCTGTCAAATTCATCTGGTCCAATGTGTCATTCAAGTCCATTGTTTCTTTAGTGATTTTCTGTCTAGTTGATCTATCCATTGCTATAAGTGGAGTATTAAAGTCCCCTGCTTTTAGCACATTCTTGTCCGTAAGATTGTTTTTGTTCATGATTAATTGTTTTATGTATTTGGGTGCTCCTGTATTCGGTGCGTAGACATTTATAATTGTTAGCTCTTCCTGATGGATAGACCCTGTAATTATTATATAATGCCCTTTTTCATCCCTTGTTACTGCCTTTACTTTAAAGTCCAGTTTGTCTGATATAAGTGTAGCTACTCCAGCTTTCTTTTGACTTCCAGTAGCATGATATATATATTTCTCCATCCCCTTACTTTCAATCTGAAGGTGTCCTCAGGTCTAAAATGAGTTTCTTGTAGACAGCAAATAGATGGATTTTGTTTTTTTATCCATTTTGCTACCCTATGTCTTTTTATTGGAGCACTTAGTCCATTTACATTCAGTATTATTATTGAAAAATATGGATTTAGAGTCATTGTGTTCTTTGTAGGATTCCTGCTTGTAGTGGTGTCTCTGGTACCTTCCGTTCCCTGCTACATTTCCCTCATGGAGTCCCTCTCAGGATTTCTTGTAGGGCTGGTTTAGTGGTGATGAATTCTTTCAATTTTTGTTTATTTGGGGAGACTTTTATCTCTCCTTCTATTCTGAATGACAGGCTTGCTAGATAGAGGATTCCTGGCTGCATATTTTTTCTGTTCATCACATTGAAGTTTTCCTGCCATTCCTTTCTGGCCTGCCAAGTTTCAGTAGATAGGTCTGTCACCACTCTGATAGGTTTCCCTTTGTATGTTAGGGCCCTTTTATCCCTAGGTGCTTTCAGAATTCTTTCTTTGTCCTTATATTTTACCAGTTTCACTATGATATGTCATGCAGAAGATTGATTCAAATTACATCTTTAGGGGTGTTCTCTGTGCCTCTTGGATTTCAATGTCTGTTTCCTTCCCCAGATTGGGGCAGTTCTCAGCTATAATTTGTTCAAGGACTCTTTCAGCGCCTTTCCCTCTTTCTTCCTCTTCTAGAATTCCTATGATATGGATATCATTCTGTTTGATTGTATTACTCAGCTCTCGAACTCTCCTTTCATGTTCCTGGATCATTTTATCTCTCTTTTTCTTGGCTTCCTCTTTTTCTATAATTATGTCTTCTAATTTACCTATTCTCCTCTCTGCCTCTTCAATCCATGCATTGGATGCCTCCATTTTATTATGCATCTCATTTATAGCATTTTTAAATTCATCTCAGGTATTTTTAAAGTCCATAGTCTTTGTAGCAATAGCTTCTATGATGTCTTCCATGCCTTTTTCAAGCCCAGTGATTAATTTTATGACTATTGTTCTAAATTCTTGTTCAGTTATGTTGCTTATATCTGTTTTGAGCAGTTCTTTAGCTGTCATTTCTTCCTGGAATTTCTTTAGAGGAGAGTTCTTCCATTTTTCATTTTGGCTAGCTTTCTGTCACTTGTTAGCTTTAAAAGCTTGTTATGCACTCTGCACCTACGAGTACTGCTGTATTAAAGAAGGCTCTTTGATTATCCAGAGCTGTCTGTTCAGGAAGTGTTCTTTGAATGGTGTCTCTTGGTTTCTCTTGTTGAGATGGTGGTTATTTTATTTCCCTACTCGTAGTGGTATTTGAAACTCTCCACCATGTGTACTTTGGCTTATTTATTGAGGCAGCCCTGGTAAAGAAAACAGACAGACAAACACACAGGGAACAAAGGCATACAAATGCACAGACAAATCCAACAAACACGCAAACTGAATGGGAAAAAGAAGGGGAAAAAAAAAGAGGAAGGAGGAAGAACAAAAAAGAAAAAGAAAAAGAAAAAAGAGGAAAGAAAAAAGAAAAAACACCAAAAAACAGGACAGTGTGAAAGCATAAAAGCAGAATCCCCAGCTACAAATAAAGAGCAGGGTGTATGCAGTGCTGATGGAAGAGCGTATACAAAGAGGGTGGGGAGGAAGCGAAATTGGACAATGACCAGACAGAGAGACTAAGAGGCTTAATTCGGAGAGAGAAAGAGGAGAATATGGTAAGAGGTGAGGAGAAAGAAACAAAGATAACGTTACGCAGAGAAACTATATAGTCTGATTACTCCAGAGAGAGAGAGATAGAAAGGTAGCGGTGGAGGTGTAGAATATACATCTAGAGAATGGATTAAATGTGACTGTTAAGTAAACCAATGACCAGAGTGCCCAGTCCAGCAGAGGGGAGGGATACGAATGAGACAAGGGAAAATATATCTGAATAGAAAGAATAGATCTAGAATTAATCACAGCAGTGCATCCATGTTGGTCTTGCCCCAGGGTCCAGAAAAAAAAAAAAAAAAAAAAAAAACAGCTCTCTAGTGGGGATGGGCGTGGTTTGGTGTAGGCAGGTCTTAGCCTCCACTGCTTCTGGAGGGCTGCTCCCTGAAGTCCTGCCTTGGTGGTTGTGGGGAGAAAAATGGCGGCACCCCAGTCCCTTCTCAAACTAAGCGCTGCAACTCACTCTTTTGGGTCCAATCTCCCTGTGCCACAGGGGTAGCCAAGGTGAGTCGTGCTTTATGTTCCAAGCCATGTCTTGTTTCTAGATCTTAGTCCACGTGCCCCATTGATACTGCCTAAAATAAATCTGCAGGCTAAGTCCCTCCGAACAGTTTCAAGCCTGTCACCTCCCCACTGTGGATCCAGCTGAGCTAGGAGTGGCGGTGTGGCTTCAGGCACGCTGCTTCCCCTCCCGGTGGAGCTGGCGAGCAGAGGAGCAGTTTCTCCTGGCATCGCCTGGGACCAGGGCGTCCAGCTCAAGGTCAGCTGCACAGCTGAAAGCTGGATCACTCTGTGTCCTGAGCCGAGGTTTTTCTCTTCCCCAGGGACAGGGACAATTCCTTGAGCAGTTTTAGCCGCTCTTTTTCCCTCGACTCACCATGGCAAAGGGGGACCTCTCCCCGCCCTCTGTGTCTCCGGTCCTGGCCCGTTTTTATCTTCCCCAGTTCGCACTTGCACTATAAGGTTGTTTTCTCAGTGGACCCTGTCTCCTTTTCGTCCCAAACTCCTGGATTCTGGAAGGGTTCCTATAGCTTCAGGCCTTCTCGGTTTGAGAGATGTGGGTGAGTGAAATGTATGGAGCTCCCTACTTCTCAGCCATCTTTCCTCCTCCCCTGATGTAAAATTTTTTAAATGGAAAAAAGAACATATTTTAGGTGTCATTCTGGAAGTAAAAGCAGTTGGTTTAGTTGGATTGCAGATACTGGTGAGAGTGTGCATGAATGGTCAGTGTAGCATAATGGTTAAGAGCAAGAGCTCTTGAGCCAGGCAATCTGTGTTTGAAACCTGGATCTGTTCATTATTTCATTGTGACTTTGGGTAAATTCCAGAGTTTCTCTGAACTTCAATTTCATCATTGGAAATGGAAATGATCACATTTTATAGACCTCTTGAGAGGAGTAAATGGAATAATGTATATAAAGTAGTTTGCATGTGCTTGGCATATAGTAAGAACTCAATAAATGGTGCTATTGGCTACAGTAAAGTGGCTTGAAGCTTACACCATTTAAATTTACATTATTCAGCATTAATGTCCTTTGAATAATTGACACAGTCTTTGTAGTGTGTTTGGCAACATCAACCTATTACGTGTTTTATTTAATTGTTACTCTTCAGTATTTTATGTTCATAGCTTGAGATTATTTATTACCAAACATGTAATAGTATGTCTACTCTGTGCAAAGTACTACGTATAAGAGAATATATCTTAAAGATATAAAGAATACATCTAAAAGTGACAGCTATTTTTAATCTATTGTTTTATTAAAAATAAACGATCTCACGAACCAAAGGACATTCGATATTCCATCCATTTCTTCCCAGATCATTTGGAACAGAATATCAGTACCTCCCCCTGAATCTGTAGAAGCATTGGTGGACTTGTGAGCATCCTGTGTTTGAAATTTCATTACTACATTCCTAAAACAGTATATGATAGATATAAGTGATGTTTTTGTCTGTCAACTTTTATGGAAGAATTTGGTATATAGACATTTTATCAGCAAATAGATATTTGAGTACTATAGCTTTTTGATTTTGTATACTTCAACCCTGAAAATTATTGGTCCTTTCCAGTATTAAACTTAGCATAGTGGTTGACCTATATTAGTTGCTAAGTAAATGTTAACAATAGGATTGAAGCTACCATTGCTGAAAAGTTGATTGGTGTTCAGGATTTTTTAGTGAGCTTTAGTTAAATTTAATCTATTTGTTTAACATTTATCAGCCTAAACATTGTTGCTTTCCTCCTTAATCTCATATTCGATTTTCTGTCCAAACAGTCCTATTTTCTCTTTTCCCAGAATCCTCCAATGCAATCCTCCTATCCAGTTGAATTTCTGCCTTCTAATTGGCCTTGCAGTGCTACTGACGAAAATAAAAAGACAGAAGTAAACCTAGAGGCTGTTTTTCAGATAGTAGATGAGTTGCATTCCTCCCCTAAATTGGAGATGGTGAAGGTGGAGCCTGTTGAGAATCAGTGCCCAACATCTCAGTCTAACAGAGGCCAGCATATCATAGCTAATTCAAACAACAGCAATCCATCTTCCACAAGTCAGGCTAGCCAGCTGGAGCCACTTACTCCTGTAGGCTCAGATATTACATCTTTTGTAGTCGGAACAGAACAAGCAATTACCTGCTCTCTACCACAGTCACCTGAGTACATCTATACCATCCACACAGCTCAGCCTGTTGAAAATACTACAGTGCAGGAATCTGCAGCCATCCAACAAGCTCATGTCAAACTGAAGGAGCAGCTAAGTCATAATCCATCTCCATCTTCAGTAGTATTTGTGCAGGAAGGGTTACCATTCAGCACACACCAGGTAAGGGGGTAAAGAAAAAAATCGTAATAAAGCTTAAAGTACCTAGTGCTTCTTAATAAAAACTGTTCTAGTGGAGAGTCTGTCCACCTTTTATTTGGGTTTAATACCGGTTCATTATGCTTTCCAGAAGGATCATGTCCCAGTGATTCTGCACAAAAAATTCAGAAGGAAGTAGCCTTAAGCCCCAGGCATGTTCTTAATGTGTTACGGTCTGAAGTCAGCCTCTAGAGAGGCAGTCTGAGTATTGTGGTATAAAACTTATTTTCATGTTAAAAACATCCCTTGAATTTTGCCTCATATCTTAATTTGTATGGAAAAGGTGTGCCTGGCTGATTAAAGTCCACTGCTCAGAAAGGATGGTTTATCTGTCAGATAATATCAGGACTTTCCAGGCCATTTGTAGCTTGGAGGTAAGGAGATGGTTAGAAGTCTGTTTATACTTTCTTACAGCATTATTGAATTCTCATTTGACTTGTGAGCCTACTGTGTTTGAATTTCTTTACTAATATCTACAGTTCTTTTTTTTTAAATTATTTTTTAATGTTTTATTTATTTCTGAGAGAGAGAGAGAGAGACAGCATGAGCAGAGGAGGGTCAGAGAGAGAGGGAGACACAGAATCCAAGCAGGCTCCAGGCTCTGAGCTAGCTGTCAGCACAGAGCCCAACGCGGGGCTTGAACCCACGAACCGTGAGATCATGACCTGAGCCAAAGTCGGACACTTAACTGACTGAGCCACCCAGGCACCCCACTAATATCTACATTCTTAAAGCAGAATTCTGACTAGTTTAAGAAACATATTTTGAAGGTAGAAGCTATTTTATTGTTGCTGGTTTATGACCAGAAAATGAATACACTTTGTTTCTAAATAAAAGCATATCTAAATTACAATCACTTTTTTATGAATTAACTTAAATATTGTCACTGTTAGATTCCCATGATAACTTTTTTTTTTTGAATATTTATTTTTAAGAGAAAGGGAGCGAGAGAGACAGAGTGTGAGCGTGGGAGGGGCAGAGAGAGAGGGAGACACAGTATCTGAAGCAGGCTACAGGCTCTGAGTTGTCAGCACAGAGTTGGATGCAGGGCTTGAACTCATGAGCTGTGAAATCATGATCTGAGCCGAAGTTGGACGCTTAACCAACTGAGCCACCCAGGCGCCCCCAGGATAATTTTTTGATAGTTGGGTTTTGTTTTTGTTTTTTAATTTTTTTTAATGTTTGTTTATTTTTAAGAGAAAAAGACAGAGCGTGAGCATGGGAGGGGCAGAGAGAGAGGGAGACAGAGAATCTGAGGCAGGCTCTGGGCTGTGAGCTGTCATCACAGTGAGATCATGACTTGAGCAGAAGTTGAATGCTTAACTGACTGAGCCACCCAGGCAGCTGATAGTGTGGTTTTTTTTTTTTTAATGAATTCTTTTTTGGCTCTAATTTTGGATCCAGATGTCTTAAGGTATCTATCAACTCATTGTCCTTTTTGAGTCCAGTTGTTGAGACCCAGTATATCATGTGTAATTCAGTAGACCAAAGATAGGCCCGTTGTATTTCAAATATGCTTGTGGAAAAAACATAAAATTTGTCTTTGTTCCCTCATAGTTCACCTCCAAAATATTAGATTTCATACCTTAAAATTGCATTCATATTACTTTCTCCTTTCAAAAGTATATTTGAACCATCAGAGCTTTTAAAAGCTATGTGTTTAACTTTTAGCTTTATTTCATTATATAGTTTTATTTAAAATAAATTCATAAAGAAATAAAAGTATTTCAGAAGTTGGTCACCTTGATGAAGGGATTTGACATTTCAAAGAAATTTAGGAACTCTAAGAAACACATATCTTATAAGCAGAATAGGTCTAGATTTTATAGGAGCTGAAGCTTATGCAATTGAGGGGCTCTCTAAGGTATAGAATACAAAATTAGTGAAATAAAGTGTCCTTAGCTCCACTGACATTATCCAATAGGATTATGCCTATGACCATTTCAATGTTACCAGTGGGGGTGGAAATCTGATAGAAGGGATACTAGAGTGGAAAAAAATAGTGATCTTAAACAATTATAAATTTATGTGTGTGTGAATTGTACCCCCCAAAACATCAACAAACTTCATGGTTAATCTTTCTCGGATCATAAGCAAACGTTTTAACTCCATATACATTTCAATGGTTTGTGTCTGGGGAAATAGATATCTTACTACTAAATATTCAGATTAGCTCAACAAAATTAAAGGTGGTATCATTCATCAGAATGAAAAGCCTTTTATTTTATTTTTTAATTTTTTAATAGTTTTTATTTATTTTTGAAACAGAGGGAGACAGAGCATGAGCTGGGGAGGGGCAGAGAGAGAGGGAGACACAGAATCTGAAACAGGCTCCAGGCTCTGTACTGCCTGCACAGAACCCAACGCGGGGCTCGAACCCACGAACCGTGAGATCATGACCTGAGCTGAAGTCTGACGCTTAACCGACTGAGCCACCCAGGCGCCCCTGAAAAGCCTTTTAGAGGCATGTTTGTTGGATCATGTTTCAATAATAGAACTCTTCTGATAAAATATCTTAACTTTTAGTACATATTTGAGAGAAATTCAGAATAATGAGTGGGTTTAATATTTTAGGTGGATGCCAGTATAAAATGCCAGACCAATCCACCTGAGAATATCTTGCCTGCAGAACAGATGGGATTCCTTATTTCAGAAATGGGCCTTGCTAGCAAGTCTAGTAAAGACACAGGTTTGTCCACTCCAGCCAGATACAGAGAGCGAAGAAGCAACTCACAGCAAGGAAAGTCCCCTGGTAAGGATTACTGTGCTGTAGAATACTAGAATTAGAACCATGGTATAAAATTAATGTATGAATGACAGTTTTTTTCTGAGCCTTCATTTTTTTATTCATAAACTGCATGATACTTATCACATTGCTTCTTTTACATAACTGTAATTTTAACTCTATATGTTTTCTTAATTATCCTTATAAAGTATGTAAAAGTTATTTTCCTAATATTGCATGTAAAAAAACCGAGCTTTCGAATAGCTAGAACATATTAAGTAAAAACACAGGAACTTGGGTTATTTAACTTGGAAGAGGCAAGGATGAAGAGTGATTTAACAACTGCTTCAGATGCCAAAGACTGTAATTACTGATGTAGTTCTTATTAACAGACTGTAGGATAAGAGGGAATATGCTTAAAATTGTAGCAGTAAAGAATTAGATGGTCATTAATAACATTATCCTGAGCACATTATGATGATAGTATAAAGTGTGACTTTTACAGTGGGATTGTTTTTCCTATTTATAGGAACCCAGAATTAATGATTGTTTTAGGCACATAGAGTTGATTTTACTGTTTCTAAGGCAATTGGACAAAACCAATTTTTAAGAAAATAGTAGCATCTGATAAGACATGTTTCTTTATGTTTCAAAAACAAGTCATCAGAGTCTTCTGTGGGCAACTTTAATATTCTCAAATTGAATGCATGTCAGAGGCATGCAGTCCATGTAGAATTAATCAGTCAGGTCAGACAATCATTTTAGCCTATAAAAAATGGAAAAATAGTGAAAAATTATTTGAGAATTTCTCTAAAAAGTAAACTAATAGTGATATGATCAAGATCTTGCTCAGACTCATAGGGTTCTTTGTGCAAAACACCTTTTAGGCAAAGAACTATCCTGATCACTCCTCTTATTCATTAAACTTAGCTTGTACAGTCACTTTTAGTGAATTATGGTCCAATCCATAAAAGATTAAGAGATTAAGATTTCTCACCACTGAAGATGTTTAAAACAATGGCATAGACTTTGAAGGTGATTTAGAAAAGGATAGGAACTAATATTTGTGCATACCCATTTTTAATGCCATAAACAAACTTAATGAAAGTGGTATTGTCATCATTTTGAAGATTGAGAAGTTTAGGCTTAGAGAGGATTAATAACTTGTTCAAGGTCACACATTAATTAATGTAGCTAATATTCTACTCATAATCACTCGTTGACTGTATCCTTACATAAAGGACTGTGTCCAAACATAAAAGTTTTTAAGTTTGTTTTGTTGTTTTGGATTTTCGGGGTTTGTTTTGTTTTTTTTTTTTGGTTTTTTGGTTTTTTGGTTTTGTATTGTTTTGTTTTTTGTTTTTGCTTTTGTTGCTTATGCTTTTGGTGTCATTTCTAAGAAATCATTGCTAAGCCCAATGTCATGAAGTGTTTCCTCTGTATTTTCTTCTAGGAGTTTTATACTTTAGGTCTTACATGTAGGTCTTTAATCCATTTTGAGATTCTTTTTGTATATGTTGTAAGATAAAGGTCCAACTTCATTCTTTTGCATGTGGATATACAGTTTTCCCAACACCCTTTGTTAAAGAGATTGTCCTTTCCCCTTTGAGTGATCTTGGTGTCTTAGTGAAAGATCATCTGATCATATAAGTAAGCATTTGTTTCTGGTCTCTCTATTCTAGTCCATTGGTCTATTTGTCTCTCTTTATGCTAATACCATGTGATCTGTTTAACCTCTCAATTCTGCCCTGTAGCAAAAAACCAGCCATGGAGAATATGTAGATGAACAGTTCACGGCGATATTCCAGTGAGGCTATATTTACAAAAACAGGTGCGGGGCCCAGTTTAACCTAGGGGTCATAATTTGCCAACATCTGAATTAAACTAACAGCTTCTTTCTGAATAGCAATAATGGAAGCCAAAAAAGGGGGTAGAATCACATTTTTAATATACTGAAAGAAAACTGCAATCTTAGAAGTCTCTACCCAGCAAAATGATCATTCAAGGATGAAGGCAAGACAATGAAGACATTTTAGATAAACACAAAATTGAGAGCATGTGCCACAGCAGATCAACACTAAAGTAAATTCTACAGGGTTTTTTTTTAAGTTCATTTATTCTGAGAGAAAGAGGGAGAGCAAGCACACAATCGGGAGAGGCAGAGGGAGGGAGAGAGAGGATCTGAAATGGGATCTGCGCTGACAGTTTGGAGCCTGATGAGGGGATCAAAATGGGGATCAAACCCACAATCCGTGAGATCATGACCTGAGTTGAAACCAAGAGTTTGACTTAACTGACTGAGCTACCCAGGTGCCCCTGCAGGGTATTCTTCAATCAGAAGGAAACTGTGGTAAAGGTATTGATTAATATGGGCTTTGATGAATCAAGAGTAGGTACTATAGTTTCTAGGGTAATCACCAACACAATAGAAATAATCCAAAAGAAGGCAGGAAATGGGGAAGGAAGGAAAAATAAAGAAGACAAAGAGAAGACAAATAATAAAATGGTTGACTCACATTCAACCAGTACAATGATTATGCATAAATGGTCATAAAAATTTTAATTCAAAGGCAGAAATTGCTAAAGTGGATAAAAGCAAACTCCTGCAGTAGACTGGCTATAGGAGATACAAGTATATGGTAAAAGATATCATGTGCAAACAGGAAGTATGAGGTACTTTTAACATATCAGATCAAACAGATTTTAAGACAGAGTATTATAGAGTCGGCTTTATACTGGTGGACAGTTAATCACCGAAGCATCACAATTATAAATGTGTTGTTGTGTAGTAATAGAGCTTCAAAATATATGAAGCAAAAATTGACAAAGGAAGAAACAGACAATGCCTCAATATAGTAGGATATTTTAACACACAATCTGAACAACACAATCAGCCACCTTGATTTGATTGGTATTTATAGAACACTGCATCCAACAATTACAGAATATGCATTATTTTCAAGTGCATATAGTACATTCAAGATTCATCATATACTGGGCCATAAAACAAGTCTCAGTAAGTTTACAAGAGTTAAAAATAATGTAAAGTGTATTCTCTTAATACAACAGAATTAAATTAGAAATCATTGACAATAAAATAACCAGGAAAACCTCCAGTATCTGGAAATACAGTGACATATTTCTAAACCATAACTCAAAAACAAAATATCAAGAAAATTAGAAAATATTTGGAACTGAATGACAATGAAAATACATCACTTTGTGAGATGCATCTAAAACAATGTTAGCAGGGTGCCTGGGGGTCTCAGTTGATTGAGCATCTGACTCCTGATTTTGGCTCAAGTCATGATTTTGTGGTTCATGGGTTCAAGCCCCACATGGGGCTCTGTGCTGATGGTGGAGAGCCTGCTTGGGATTCTCTCTCATTCTCTCTCTGCCTCTTCCCTGCTTGCGCTCTCTCCCTCTCAAAATAAATAAATGAACATTTTTTTAAATACTTAAAAAAAAAACGTTAGCATGAAATGCGCAGCTTTAGGTGCTAATATTAGAAAAGAAGTAGAATCTAAAATCAGTGACCTGAAGTTTCAATATAAGAAACTAGGAAAAAAAAAAAAAAAAGAGAAGAAAGTAAACCTAAAGTAAACATGAGAAAGGGAATGATAAAATAAGAGTAGAAATTAATGAGATAGAAAATAGGTGAGAAAATTAACAAATATAAAACTGGCTCTTTAAAAAGTTCAACAAAATTGACAAGCTTCTAGCTAGACTGATCAAGAAAAAAGAGAACCCAAATCATAACTATCAAGAATGAAGAAGAGGGGCACTTGGATGGCTCAAGTGGTTAAACTTCTGACATCAGCTCAGGTCATGAGCTCACAGTTTGTGAGATCGAGCCCCACATTGGGCTCTGCACTGACAGCTGAGAGCCTGGAGCCAACACTGGATTCTGTGTCTCTCTCTCTGTCTCTGCCTCTTGTCTACTCGTGTGTATGCTTTCTCTCCCTCTCAAAAATAAGCAAACATTATTTAAAAAAAAAAAAAAAAGATGCTTGGTAGGCTCAGTTGGTGGAGCATGTGACTCTTGATCCTGGGGTCATAAGTTCAAGTCCCACGTTGAGTTGTAGAGGCTACTTAAATAAATAAAACTCAAAAAAGAAAGAAAGAGATTACCACCTCAGAATTAATGGATATTAAAAGAATAAGAGAATACTGTGGACAGTCTCACATCAATGAATACAAATGGAATAGATACATCACATCTTTTGAAAAATACAACTTACCAAAATTCATACACTTCTATTAAAGAAGTTGAATTGGTTATTACTTTTTTCAAAATAAGAAAGAAAATTATAGACCAATTAATCCTCTTGAATGTAGATACAAAAATCATTAATAAAATGTTAGTAAATTGACTCCAACAATATTTAAAAAGGATAATACTCTACAACCAAATAGAGTGTATCTCAGGAATGCAAGGCTTGATTGATTTTTAAATGTTAAACAATGTTATTTGCTATATTAATGGAATAAAGGAAAAAAACTATGGTGATTTTAAAAGATGCAAGGAAAGCATTTAACAAAAGTCGGTACTTATTCATAATAAAAACTCTCAACAAAGTAGGAATAGTAGAAAATTCCTAAACTGATAAGTAGTACCTATAAAATATGTATGGTAAAGATCATAAATTAGTGGTGAAAAATAAACTATATACTTAGAAATTGGGAACAAGCCACAAGGATGCCCACAGTTACCACTTGTATTGTCCTGGTGGGCCTGCCTTTGCAATAGACAAGAAAAAGAAAAGACATAAAGATTGAAAAGAAAGAAGTAAAAGTATTTGTAGGTGATATGATTACTTATGTAAAAAAATCAAGGAAATCTACAACTGCTAGGACAAATAAATAAATGTAGCAAGGTTTTAGGACAGAAGATTGATATATAAAATCAATTGTATTTTAATAAACTAGCAGCACACAATTGGAAAATGAAATTTAAAAAAGCAAACATTTACAGTAAGACCAAAATCATAAGATACCTAGGAATAAGTTGAACCAAAGATGTCCAA